CTAATAATTAAATACATCACATATATATATATACATAAATACACGTATTCCCCCCCCCCCCAGATCCCCCCTGAGGTTTTTTTCTGCGCCTTTTGCTTCCAGATTTGTACTGGAATACTTTTTTTCAAAGTTCTTTGCACAAAAACGTCGAAGTCGAAGTGTTGCTTCGACTTTTCCTTTCAGCGATCCCTTCAAAAAAGCAAGCGATGTCAAATGGTTGCTTCCATTGTACTTGTAGACTATTCGTTTCAAAGCTCTTTTTCGAAATGCTTTCCAGATTTGCGCCAGTAGGCTTTTCCTTTTCAAGTTCCTTCATGCTTTCCAGAATTGGGCTAGTAGGTTTTTCCTTTTAAAGTTCCTTGAAGCAAACAGTTAATTGCAATCACTGTTGCTTTTCGAGGAGTGGTAGACTTGTCCTATCAAAGTTCCTATTAAGCAACAGTCAAATTCAAAGATGTTGCCTTCAAGGGCTGGTAGGCTTCTCCTTTTAACGTGTTTTGTAAAGAGCATTCAATTTAAATGCTTCTGTTTCGAAATCTGGTTGGTAGATTTTCCTTTCAAGGCCCTTTTAAAGCTTGTCAAATTCAAAGTGTCTGCTTCCAGATCTGGACTGGTGGACTGGTAGGTGTTTCCTTTCAATGTTCCGGAAAGCAGTCATTTTCAAAGATGCTGCTTCCAGAGAAGTGGTAGACTTTTCCTTTCAAGGGTCTTTGAAAACAGCAGTATCTTAAAAACCGATGCTTTCATTGGACAGGTATCCTATTCAAACCTTTTCCTTTCAAAGTTCTTTCAAGAAGTATGACTTGGCAGTGCAGCACTTTGTGCTTGCAAGAGCACAACAATAGGGACAGCTCCGCACTTTTGAGGTCCAGCGCAGAAAGTGCTGTCCTGTCCCTATTCCTGACTTTAGTGACCTCTCACGGTTTTGAGCACCTGGTGGCCAACAATGCTGAGAGGTCCCGAAAGTTCAGCTTCCTGAAGCAACCCAAGACTTCTTGAAAAGTAGCTGTTTTTCTTTTCAGGGACAGTACAGCACTTTGTGCTTCCGAAAGCTGAATTCTAGGGACCTCTCATGGTTTTGAGCACCTGACAGCACAAAATGCTAAGAGGCTCAGAGTTCAGCTTCCAGAAATCATGTAAACACACGTGTAAACACACAGTGTTCTGAGTTCTCTTACATTTACTCCCCAAGACTTCACAAAGAACAGTTTGCACTTTCTGCTTCTGAAAAGCCTGAACACTATGGACCTTACGGTGTTTTCAGCACTTGGCAGCACACAGCATTGACCGTCTCTGATTTTTCAGGCTTTATGACCTGAACACGTGCAAGCCCATGTTTGGAACAACATCAGCTTCTGAATTCATGCCCTTGTTCAAGTGGCGGCAAGTGCACGAGCAGATAGACAAAATCTCAAATAGCAAGCACACTGTTTCTGACAGGGTTTTCGCAGCTACTCTAAGCAAAGCACATGTCCGTCTGTCCAGCAGCAATGGCTGCAGACCAAAGCTGCGGATCTTGGGAAGGGGGGCACTCTATATATATATATATACATGTGTATATATATACACACACATTCGAGCGGAACCACAGCTAAATTCGTTTGAGTACCACGGCAGGTATTTTCTGAAGCTAGTGAGTAGGGTGCTCAAGAACCAAGCAAGGTAGACTGCTGGGAGAGATGACCAATACACTTGGACACGTAGAATTTCCCTGTATGCCAAGTTCCAATTAATATCGGTTGGGTCGAATGGGGTCAACTGTGGGCCAACTCCATGTGGAGCTTCGGCGCTTTGGAGCTTCGGCGTGCTTTGTTTTCTTAACGGCGGGTTGACCCGGGTGCGGGGAGCGCTGGTGGCTGGTGGCTTGAAGCTTCAAGTAGCCGTCGCGGCAAAGGGTCAATGGTCACCAGGCTTGGGCCAATTGGTTTAAGCTGCACAAGCAAATGGTACCCCCTTCTGTTGGAGGTATGCCAAACGGGGAACCCAAAGGATGTGGTTGTAAAGTTTAAGCAATAGGTGTTTAATCACTGGAGGTTGGATGGAGCCTGGATGTTCACTTTTAATTGGGCTGTGGGCTTGTTGGTGACCCTGTGCAATCACGTAGCACCTAGAACCCCGTGGTCATTGAACGCTGGTTCCAGGAGCCGCTGCGATCCAAATACCTGGGCTCAGCGCTGGGCCTAGGCATCGCGATTCGGATTACGTTTGGTTTACAGGTCGGAGAGTGTCCCACAGGCGGATTTGGGGATGAGGACCCCTGCCATTTTGCACCCAAAGGTGGATTTTCGGCCAGGCTTGCTTGGTTGGGATTTGCGCAGTGACGAGTTTCTGGATGACCAAATCTGAAGGGAACGTTGGTGACCGGTTTCCTTTGGTCTTCCCTTTCCAGGGGCCAATGTCGATTGTGCCAGGTCGAATGGCAAAGCTGATCAAGCTTGTAGGACAATCCCGGGTTGGCATGGGTCATTTGAAGGTACAGCCCCGATACCTATTGTCGCTTCCAAAAAAAATAATCTCACCTCCCCTTGGTTGTCACAGGGAAGCAACGTGAGGCCATTTGCATTTCGGGCAGTGCTTCCAAGCACACAAGTCAGCAACACTTCAGGCGGTTTTTGGGCGGGTGTTGTGACAAGCTGGAGGTCCAAGCTTCCAATGTTAGCGGCATGGATCCGTCCGAAGCGCGGGCTAGGTTCAAGCTGGAACGTGAAATCTCTCAAAGCTAGCATGAACCAGAACCTGAAAGATGGCGCTCAAAAGGAAGGTCTGGCGGGGCTTCCCTGAGGTTCCATGTTTGATCTTGGGATGATGATAACAAGCACAGCCTTCTTCATCTAATTTTACCCGTGGTGAGGTGCTACTTCGCAGGCCACGGGTGAAACTCATTCGCAGGTGAGGAATTGTGGTGGTCCAGGGAAGGACATGAGGGCCAACACCCAATTTTTCCCAAGTCCTTGTTGGCAAACAAGAACCTTGTCCGTTGCTCGCATGAACAGGCAGTACGTCGGGTTGCCACCCATCCATTTCAGTGTCCAGCTTGTCCACAGTCGCCATTCGCGGTTTCCGGCCTCCTTTGCGTGCCACCGTCGGTCGATGTTTCTGAAAGGGGAGCTCTCGTCCCTTTGGTTTCCCTTACGACACCACCCAAAGGGGGGCCCCCAATTCCATTGCCAGGCTGAAGCTGACCTTATTGCCCTTTGGGGTTTGAATCATTTAGCCTTTCGACCAGCAAGCAGCGATGATGTTCTGCACGCCTTGCACTCGTCTGGCCTCCTGTTTCTTTTGTCGAACACTCGCTCGTCTCCCTTGGTGATTTCTCGCAAGGCACGCTGGGGAACATGGTCGGCCCCCCGGCGGTGGGCGTCATCTTTGACCTCGCCAAAAGCTACAACATCCCAGCACCGCAGGCGTTTTGTTTCTTCTTTTTTTTCTCGTGCCGCAAGGGAAAGTGGAAAGGGAGGGTGTGAGTGTTTTCTGTTTGATTTAGATAATTTGGTTTTGGTTTCTAGCTGGAGGGGAGGGAGCGGTTCAGGGGTGTGAGGCCAAATGAGGGGACAATAGCCACCAAGCGAGTACCTCGTATTTGATATGTAACTCTATCGGAAGACTGTCTTCCCAACTATCCATGTTGGTTCTGATTCGTGTGTCTTATGGATCCAGCGGATGTGTTTGCATTGAGAACCGTACAGTGCGTGTACTTCGCGGACCAAAAAGGTTTGTGCCACTTCCTGTAGCGGCACTGTTTGGAATGGCATGTTTAGGTGCTTGGCAAAGCATATGTTTGGCCTGTCCAGTGGCAACGGAATATATTGTTGAGGGGGGCCTTCACTGTATTTCCAGGTAGATGCAGATCATACATTGTATAGCTGAGTCGTTACCTCCTGATGGGACAGGAGGAATCGACTTCATGCGTCAAGGAAGTGTTTGTTTTCGAATGTAGGCCTTGTACATATGCCATTTGGAGGTTCAGGACTTGAGAGGGAGAGGGCTCTGCCTTTTTCGGGTCGAAACCCGGGAGCGGGGCGTTGGTTTGGGGATTTTGGGGTGTTAAGGAGTTTGAGGTGTTGGGTCAACAGAAAAGCAGGGCTTCAAGCCAAAAGATGGCCAACCTTCCTAAGGGCTTTTTCTCTTTGGCTGTTGTTCATTTTTCTAAGACCTATGGTCTTTGGCTGAGTTTAGGCGCTCGCGCTGGTCCATCCGGTGCTGCTGCTGGCGCTGGTGCTACATCTGCTCCATTCAGTGGAGGCGGAACTTCACCCCAACTAGTGCGAGGAATTTTTAAGATACTATGATTGCGGTCTGGAGAAATCCACAGTTTACATTATGTCTTCCACTTTGGGACGGTTTCAAGGCCAAAACCTAAGTATATAGCGCGGTGCAGAGGCGTTGTTGCCTGGATGGCCTGCTTTTGGGTGGGTTTAAGGAACACCAACAGGACAGCCGCCATTTTGGCCACTTTTAAGACACCCAAATCTGGGGGGTTAGTGCAAGAGTTCCCCGACTTTTTGTCAAGCTACTTGTAGAAGCCATGTGATTTATCCTTGTTGGGAATTTGACAGTTCCCTCACAAAACGCAGGGCTTCCAACTGAAGAAGCCACAAAAGCAAGCGTTGTGGGTTCTGTTAGGCTATCAAAATCTGAGTAACTGGGGGGTTCGCATAGGGTCCCCGAAAAATCGCCCCTGCTTTAAGCATCACCTCTTGGGCGGTGACCCCAAAAGGACATCAGTAGAATTCCAGGGGTCACAATCTTAGCCCTGCTGTATTTGGAGGATTGGAACAAGGTGTCAACGTTTTTAGTTTCAGATTTGAAGTCGCTCCCCAAAGTGAGGAAACCCTGAAAGAAGGCAACCAGTTTCTCTGTTTAGCCTCAACTAGGTTATGATTTTGTCTTGAACAGGGTCGCAGGTTCCGCATTTTGCGGAACAGCCTCCAAAATGGTCGTCGCATTGCCCGAAACCACTATCCAAAAAAGCGAAAGCCGAGAGTATGGTGCCCTTTTGAACCCCCTTGGGCGAACCTCGTGACGCACTGGACGCCTTCTATCCGTCAAACCCCCCAGCGGAATTGACTGGGTTCCAGGCTCAGCCGAAGGAGCCGTTGCTCAAGCAGGCGGGGGTCACACAGCTCCACTTGGCACAGCCTCGGTTCGTGGCTGCTGTTTGGTTGGATGTCAAACCTTGAGGAAAATGTGTTTTTTTTCCTCCCCAAGCAAAAGCTAGCACTTTTTGCACAGGGGGCAATAGCCACCAAGTTTAGTAAAGAGTTCTACTCCCTGGTTTCGTATGAAGGTCTGCATGAGATCCATTCAACCCTGCCCCCAGAAGCCAAGATACCCAAGAGCTTCACAAGGGAGGGATTAGTCGACCGATCCGCAAAAGGTTTCGTTGGCATCGCCAAATCAACCCTTACCTCACATGACGTCCCGCTTCCATGAGCAGCTAGATGGAGAGAGAGAAAGAGAGAGAGAGAGAGAGAGAGAGCCAAGTCACACGTGGCCCTCTCCTTTCCTCGATATGCGGTCAGGAGCCACCAACTCGACCAATGCTGCTTTTCAATTTGCGTTTCGCGCCTCTGAAGCCACTCACCCCCCAGATTGGTGGTTGGTACAACCGGAAATTGGGGGATGTCACATCGCAATGGAGGCCCCCATTGGTTGTTGGTACAATCAACAGGAACCCGGGGGATGTCACCTCCAAACGGAGATCTCGGATTCGATTTGAGGAGCAGAGCCCCTGGAAAGCCTTCGCGGTGCTTTCCATGGGCCGAGAGGCCTTGGTGCTGTCGCTGGAACTCGCGCCTCGGCGAGAGCCCCGACCGACCCCGGGCCAGGCCGTGTGTGTCCCGGGCGGCCGGGGCCCTTAAAGGGAGCATTTTGAGGGGTTCCTGGAATCAGTTTGGGGGGTCGCCTAGTGAAACCACCATGTAGAGGGTGAGTTTGAGGATGCAATAACATGAAGGGATCCAAACTCAAAGGGATGCCTATAGCAAAGGGGTTCTTCAAAGGAAACAAGGATAAGCCGATGAACCAAGAACATGTGCATCTCATCCCCTTTGCTTGCCGACAGAAGGGAAATTGCACCATCTACCTGCACCATGGTGCAGGGGGTGCTTCCCAAAGTGATAGATTCCCTCTTTGATCAACCAGCTGTGCATTCATCCTGAGTGACGGTTAGAAGGGGTACCGGCGGGTGCCTTTCCTCAAATCGCAGACGCCTAGAGATTAAATGAACAACGAGAGGGATCAAAATGGCTACCTCGGAAGTGGTTAGCCCCGAAGCTGCGATCGCTGTGTGAATTCAGGGCTCCCTCCAATTCCCTGCTAAAAAATGACACACCCGCCTGGGAAAAAGGAATGTTCAAGCAAATTACACTCATGGGTGGGCCCTCCAGACAAAAAAACGGTGTGGTTGTGTGGGGTGTCCTTTTTTGGTAAACCAACGAAAAATGGGTGCCCGAAGAAGGACGCGGGGGGGGGGGGGGGCAGAAAAGAGTTTTTCTTTTAATCCCCTTTTCACCAACCACAAAACGGCTGCCTCAAGAACACGTGCTCATATTGTCCAAACCGTTGGCCAGCATAGTTCTTGGTTTTTGGACTCGCATCTTACCTTTTGGTTTCTGTTTGGGGATGGGGGTCAGGGGTCGTGATCTGGATCCCACAAAGAATCAAATGGCACTTTGTTCGCACTGCAGAAGGCAACGCGGGCGACCTTTTAGGCCGCGGTTCCAGAATCCCCCCCCCCCTCGGTTTTCCTCCTTTACAGCCACAAAAATAATTGGGTACCCTTCCTCCAACAATCATGGAAGCTGACCGGGTTGTTGAAGACAGTTTTTTGGGAGCCCCTCTGTCCACTTCCATTGGTGGAAAGAGGGTACGTACCAACGTTGACAACCAAAATAATTGGGGTACCAACTCCCAAAAAATACACATCACTACTAACTACAAAAAGAAACAAAAGAGAAAAAGCACGATTCTTCTGGCTTCCCCCCATTTCGACGTTCACTGATGGGTGTTTCTCAATCTGACCCGTTGGCTTCCTTTGGTTTCGAAAAAAGAAAAGAAAAAAGAAAGAACAACAAACACATCCCTGCGAGCGGAGCGTCCTTCTTTGGGCACCCATGTTTCGTTGGCTTACCAAAAACAGCACACCCCAAACAACCACAACTGTTTATATATTTTTCTGGGAGGGGGGTGTCTCCTGAAAAACAGCCACCGCCCCTAGGTTCGGTTTCTTGTCCCTGTGTTTCTCCGTTTCTCTGTGAGGTCTGCACCTTCGCCGCGCACAACGCCTTCACCGCCGCCGGCGCCTTGGAGATGCACCGCGCTAGCTACTCCTCCGGCGCCATCGGGCTCACAGTGCCTCCGATCTCGAAGCCTCGGGAGGGATCTCGTGGCTCACAGATCCGGTTCCTTGTTTCTCCTTTTTTTTTTGGGGGGGGCGGGGGGGCATTTGGGGGAGGGGGGTAGTTTGTTTTTCAAAACAAAACACCAAAAGAGCGTGCGCGGGTTCTTGTTTTATTATTATTAAAAAAGACACGATATGTTTGACACTTCTCCCCAAAAAAACCAAACAAGCACAAAAACCAAAAAAAACAAAACAAAAAAACAGGACTATGGCAAATGTCCTGGCTTGGAGGGGGGGGTAGTCTTGCTGTTGTTTATTTTTCTCGAGGTTCTTCACACTTTTCCCAAAAACACAAAAACTTTTGAGAAAACAGAAACAACCAAACAATCAAAACCAAACAAAAAAAAACCAAAAAACAAGACTATGTCACATGTCCTGGCTTGGGGGGGGGTAGTCTTTTTGTGTGTTTTGTGGTTTTCTCGAGGTTTTTTGCATTTCTTTGGACAAGTGCGAAAAAAAAACCCAAAAAAAACCCAACTTTTCGAGAAAACCAACAGCTGTCCTGACTTGCGGGGACATAATATGTTTTTGCTTGGTTGTCTCTAGTTGTTTTGTGTACTTTACCGTTTCCGGCCTGTTTGAAAGGGCTTCTGTGATCAAGTGCGCTGGTGTAGTTCACATCCAGGCCCTAGTACAGTAAGCTAGAGATGGTTTCCTCTGGTTGGACTCGTTCCTTATTACATTCTTCTTAATTGTAATTAGAATTATACAAGTAGAACTTGGCAAATATATCAAGTAGAACTTGATACAGGTTCCGAACATGTTTAACACATGTTGTTTAGATGCTTACTGATTCGTAAGGACAATTCTATTGGAAAAGGAATTCCAGTGGAACATTTTTGTTGAAATATAATCTTTCACAATTGAAATTCGAATTTGAACTATACAATTTGATTGGGGTCTTTCCTTGATAATTTCTAGTTAATTTCAGTTAGCCATTGGGAAGAATTTGGTAAAGATATTAAGTAGATTTCAGAAAGAGAGAATTCAGAGATCCTGGAGAAGAGTCTTTTTTTGTAGCTGCTAGCCCAGAACTACCATGGTCAGAAAACACCGTAAAACACGGTGTTTTGTAGCGGTTTTTCGTACTCAATTCACATCTCCACCAACGGCCGCTGTCCAAGATTCAGTTTGATTTTGAATAGGATTTCAATAGGACTCAATAAGGAAACACTTGATCATAATCCTACTGGGAATTACATCTTACATTTAGAATTTAGATGTAAATCCTTTCCCAATAGAACACTGCAACTGAAGTAGAGTTTAGAAGTAACTTGATCAGGAATGAATCCAATCACAACTTCTGTTTCACTATAGAATTTGAATTGGAATAAGTCTATTTTGATTGATAGTTTACACTGTGCGTTCTTTCCAACCAAATTTCTTTACAATTCAGCTGACATTTAAGCACACATTATACAGACATAGTTCAACTCGACTTGCTACTCAAACAGTGAAAAAAGCGCACGCTCAATATTCATTTTTCCCAGTTTTTAGTTGGTTTAGTGAGGGTCTCCATTTTATCCCACCAGTGAAACTTTAGCAGGGGATATCTGAGGACAGCCCAGGTTTGTGTCAACGCCCTCCCCCCCCCCCCCAACAAAAAACAGTAGAAAGGAACAAAAGAAAAAGAAGAAGTTCTCGATTTGGTGTCCGTTTTAAAATGGGGGGTACACTTATCCTTAAAGCCATGCCAAGTTGTTGTTCCAGGGTCCAGTTTTCCCGCGTCTGTCCAAGATGGCTTTTTGCTCACCGCCCACAAAAGCTAAACCATAAAGGTGTTTGCTTCTTGGATTACTGATTATCTTGCTAGTTCTCTGGGGGTTGTTTGATGAGTTTGGGGGATGAAACGTTTGGATCCCTGAAGCCACAAGTTGGATGGTGGGATTCACAGAATTTTATAGGGGGTCATTGGATGTTGAAGATGGTTTCGACTACCAAACCGAAGGAATTGTGTAGGGCTGTGACCAAGCCCGCAACCCCATTTTACCCCACTGCACCAAAGAAAGGACACCTAGTTGGGGTTGGTTCAGCGGTCTTGTTTGATTGGTCGTTGACTTGAAAAGTCACCGAGCAGAGTCCTTTTCAGGGTCCCCTTCGATTTCCTTTTCAATCAACCCCCCTCAGAAGGCTTCCCTTTGGCTTCGGTATTTTTCTTTGGTTTCGCTAAACCCCAAAATGGACCAGGGTTTTGCCCTTGGTTTCCCAACCCCCAAAAAAACAAACCGAAGTCTTCGGGTTGTGCCCTTCGACCCATCTTGCTGCTTCTCAGTAATTGCCAGGGGTTTTGGGACTGAACCAATGGAAGCGACAAGCCCCTTGTCAGTGACCCTGAATCCTGTGACCACCTTCCCAAGTCTTCATGGTAAAAGCTGTGTACTCCCTGAGCAACATAGACCACAACCAAAAAGCAACATGTTTGCACACATACGTCTTGGTATGAAAAAGCTATGCACTCCCTTAAGGAACCCATGTTTACAAAACGAACATATGTCAAAATACTGGGACCCCCCCCCCAGATGGGTGGTTTTCCCTTTTTCCTTTAGCCCGACCTTTAACTCGACCTTTAACAGGCACTCTCAAAACAGGAATATGTAGATTCCCCCAAACTGGTACCCTCAACAAAGGGTACCCCCAAAAGGTACGCAAAAGATTCCCTCGAAAACACGCCCAAATGGGTCTGTCCTTCTTTTAGGGGACCCCTTTTTGTGGTTTCTAAAGGGACAGCAAAAGGACAACCGCCATCTTTATATATTTTTTGTGCGGTCCCCTTCAAGCACGACCAAACCACCACCCTCCCCCATAGGAAAACGGGGGGAAAAGACACATATTGTGGCTGTCTGGTTGTATATCCCAGTGAACCCTGCCCAATAGCTTCGGTTTGGTCGTGGAAACCATCTTCAACCAACAATGACCTCTGAATCTCTATCTGCATCCCATCCAACTTGTGGCTTCAGGGCTCCAAACGGTTCCCCAAAACTTTCAGAACCCATTTTCCCTTGCCCCCCCCCCCCCCCTCCCCTCCCCCGCCCCCCGCGGCGCGGCTTTCGCGCCTCTGTCGGCGCGCCTCGAGGCGGTGCCCGCGGGCCTGGCCCAGGCGCTCTCGGCGTGGTGGGCCGGGGCCTTCGCCCACAGCTCCCTGCGCCGGGAGCGGCTGCTGCTGGGCACCCCCTTTTTGTTGGGCGCGCTGCTGCTGGCGGCGCCCGTGGCCGAAAGAGGATGCGCGACACGAGAAAACATGAAGAAAAAGAAGAAGGAACAAACCGGGGACCAAAGAAAAGGCCGAAGAATGATAGGGTATAGTATATTTTTTGGTTTGTGTGTTATTGCTGTAATTTGCGGTCAAACCATAGGTTCGTTTGTTGATCATTTGGGAGGGACATGGGGGAAATGTGGGTGTGTTCTTTCTTGTTTCTTCGGACTGAAGGGTTTGGAGGGAGACCAAAGGGAAGAAACCACCCCCAGTTTACGGGGGTTCCGCTGCTTTCCCCGGGGCACGAAACGCGCACCGCAAAAGGAACATCCTCGGAACTTGCGCTGCGTGCCGCAAAGCACGAAGGAGATCACCAGGCCAGAGACAGCCAATGACCTCTGAGTACATTAGGTAGCTGAGTACCGACGGCGGCACCTCCATACTTTTCGGAATACACCCACGCCACTTGCGTGACATCTGCTGGAAAAACAGCCATCAGTAAGGCAAACTTCTTGGTGCGCAAGCACTTGCCCTACCAACGCACTGAGCATCACACACGTCAGAACAACCATACCACTGCTCCAGCCTGTTTGGTCACTGGTGTAGTTATGTAGAACATCCTACCCGCGGTCCGCAAGTAGCTGTGCACGGCGAAGATGGCAAGTCAAAACCAAGGAAGGTAGGTGTATTGTTGTATAATAGAGGGATGGGCACATTTTACCAGGACAAATCTAGCCGAAGCCAGCCACGACGTTGCTTGTTGCTGATCCGAAAAAGATTGGCTTATAGCCGCTGACAAAGAAGGGCTTTGCCAAACAGCGAACAGCTTTGCTGTTAGCCAATCCTAGATGACGGAAACACTGCAAGAGGTACAAGGATTGTCGGGGTGGGGAACGCGGGAGGTTAGCGCCAGTTCCTCAGTCAGGTTCCAAGTGGGTGTTTCTCTTTTTGGGACCTTCTTCGGGTTGGTTTTCAAGAGAAACCGCAAGGATAATCACCATTTTTGGGGCTTCCAAATTATAACTCCCCTCTTACCCTCCAGGGGGTGGGTTGCAACGGTCAGGCAGTCCAGCGTGCCTTGTTCGGGACTTGCAAACCTCAGTGATATCCATCCATTCCCAGTGACCAGCTCCATGTGTCTCGTCCGTTCTCAAGGTGTCGTTGCTGGTTCTCCGGGACAGCGCATGGCCGGTGGTGCCAGTGGTGGTGTTCACCTTGGCGACCACCAGCGCGGCCAACGGTGCGGTGGACGCCCCCTCCATGTCCATGATGGCGGAGCGGCGGGTTGAGTTGGGTTGGGAGTGGTCTGGGGGAGATGTCAATTCAAGTTGGCCGAGCTTGTTGTCATTGGCATTTTCAGAAACGCTGTAGACCCGGGTTGGTTGCTGAAGCCTACTACAGGGGTTGGCTTCCTTCAACCATGGGCACAGCCCTCCTGCTTGCCTGCCTGCCTGCTTGCCTGCCTGCCTGCTTGCCTGCCTGCTTGCTGGCTTGCTTGCTATCTTGAACATCCAGGTGGCAGCTCCCCCCATTTCTCCCGCAGAGTTCGCCCACCTCGGAGGACTTGGCGCGCGCACGGTGCCTGGGCTTTGGCCAGGCGGTGACCTGCTCCGAGATGGCGGTGTCGCTGGGCCTGGCGCTGGGCCCCTCCGTGGCCACGGCGCGGGAGAAAAAAACAACTGGAGATGAAGGTTGCGTGATGGTTGTGTCCTAGGGGGATGTCTTTGGTGGTTTCTTTGCGCTTGTCTTGGGTGATGAGGGTATTGTAAGGTGCCTTTGGGGATATCGTTTGGGGGATGACGTGTTCGTCGTTGTGTTGGGTGATGTCTTTCAGGATGACATTGGGGAGTCTTGGGACGGTGCTTTGGGGGGACATCTTTATCGGGCTATCTCTTGGCGTGTCTCTTTGGATGTCGATGCAGTTGTCTGGGGACTTTACGGGTTTTCTTTATGGGGCGGTCTTAGGGGGATGTCTTCGTTTTTTTGGGGGGGATGTGTCTTGGGTGATATCTTTGGCGATGTCTTTCGTGAGTTGTCTTTGAGGGGTGGTCTTGGATGCCTTTGGGTGTGCTTCGGAGGAATAGCTCTGTGATGAGGGTGTCAGGGTTTAGGCACCTGCCTTTTGGGTACCGGACACTTTTCCACCTAAAAAAGCTGGGGGGGGGGGGTATGTAGCCATGGCCGAAAAAACAAGCTGGTGGCGTTGTTCAACAGCATTTCCGAAGAACAACTTGGAAGGGGAAATCATTTATCCATGATATAGACCCTGAGAAGAAGTTGGCGGGGTTGGCTTTTTTCACTCGAAAGGAGCTAGCGGGGCCACTTGGTCATGTTCCGCAAGAAGAAGCGTTATTCACACGTTGTACACCCCCGTGAATTAGTTGGTGGAGTTACTCTCGCACATTTTCTTCGAAGTTCGAGCTTCCCAACACCAACGACGTTTGAAAGAAAGGGCTTAAGCGTCGGTGGAAATCAATTTCAGTGCCGGATCCCGTGGAACAAATCCAGATGCCAAAAAGCGTCATACAGGGGGCTGATCAATTTCAGTGCCAGATCCTGTGGAACAAATCCAGGTTCCAAGGAAACTTCAGATTCCGCCTGCACGTCTCTCTTCTTTATGTATGTGTCTGTGTGTATTGCGAACGTAGCCCAAGAAGTTCTTCACCTTGAGGCGCTGCTGAAGGCGCCCGGGGGCTTCGGAGCGCTGTGCCTGGTGCTGGGCGTCTGGTCGCTGCTCTCCGGGGCCGCCAGCGGCGTTCAGCTGCGAAACGTGCCCCACGGGGAGGATGGCGCAGCCACGTGACAAGAAACGCGCGGCCGGGATGCTGGGGGATGTTGTGTTCTTTCTTTGTTTGTTTTGTTTGTTTTCTACATAGATATTTCTAGATTTAAAGAAGTATGAAGCAGAATCGGAAGGTCTTATTTGAAGTGGACCCCACGTGGACCCAGGCTGTGGTTTGTGTTTGGTCATAGTACTGGCTTGGTGCCATGTGAAGATGTTTGAGGATGCAAGGTTTCTTTGATTTCACGTGTTAATCTGTGGCATAAATGCCGGCGATTCGTATCACCGCCACCCATCGGCGGCCGGGATTCAGCTGCCATTGATGATCTTGTGCGATTCAACTAATGTCGACCCCAAGTGAATCAGCCTCTTCAGCCTGAATCCTGGCTTCCTGTTACTGTGATTCAGCCATCCCCCGGTACGAACACTGCTGCAGGGCCCACAGACTGTGCTGAAGCACCCTACGAATCCTGATATTGTTGGTTGCATAATCCATTTTCGTTAGTTGCCGGAGGTTTCTTCATCCTCCCTTGTCTTCTTTTCTCCTTTTGCGTAAGAGTCTTCCCTTTGATGGCAGAGGCATCTCACTTGGTTGGTCCAAAGACCCAAATTTCGATATCTCCAGCGAGTTACAAGGAGATGTTGTAAGTCAACGACCCGAGGTGCGTGCAATGGTGATATGATTTGGTGTGTTACTTGGGTTGATTGCGACTGTCATGTGTCCTCTGAAAAAGATGCTATGATGGAGCCTATGATGCTATCTTGCTCCTTTTCCTTTTGCCCAGACATGAAATGATCAAAAAGATGGCACATATGCTGGGCCGTCACTGGCGCAAGGCAGCCCGACCATCGCTCATATGGACTTTTGCGGTTGACATCTTCCACCGCCCATGAAATTTGGAACCATGGAGCAGTACACTTGCTCCAGAAGCTCACAAGGATGTTTGTTCCCCTGAAGGCTGGCATCACAACCCTTGTTTGGGCCCTCAAAAGATCCGCTGATTTGTTTGCACAGGTGACAGTTGCTACTCTTTGCCTGTGTGCCTATAGCATGAGGTCAGCCAGCTTTTTTTTTGAATCACTCAGTTGCGGCCATGCCTTGGAATCCGCTGCTCATTTAAGCGGCTTGCCTGGCGGAAGATGGGCGTGCGCTCATGGCCGGGACCCCATCGGGTCGCTTCAAGCGTTCTCTTGCCAGCCAACTTCTGCAAGTGAGGCTCTCGGAAACGAGCAGATGCGAAAGGGGGGGGATTGTGGATTTCGGCCCAGCAGGCCTTCTGCTAGGAAGACTGCTTTGCCAGAGGGGGAGAGTTGCCTCAGTGTTGCCGCGAAAGCTGGGCATCGTGGCCGAGTTGAGAGGAAGATCTTGGCCAAACCCGGGGGGCAGTTCCGGGGCCGAGAAGTAGCGTAGACACAACATTTAGGATGGCCGCCAGGTTGGGAAACACAAGGAAGGAGGTTAAAGTGGGGGTTCCGTTTTCGGTATGCGTGCAACTGCTCACAAGAACTGCATCTCATGGTGCACAATCGCATGCGTTTTCTGAAACCACTCACCACCCATGCTTGAGCTTCAGGGAATCATGGCCATCACTCATATAAGGAGTTTGGACCATGCGCATACTTTAGAGCCTCCGGCTCAGTCCGCCGACATTGCACCCTCGGCTTCCTGTCCCCTTGCATTTCCCCGCACTTCACCGTTTGATCTTCATTTCCCTGTCCTTTTCCCCTTTAATTCCCACGCATTTCCCCCGTTTCCGTGTTGAGAGGGTTGATGTTAAGGGAAAATGACATGTACTTGGTGGCTGCCAGCCATGCCCTTTCGACCACCACAAGTGAAACTTGGAGCCGGGATCCGCCAAATCCATGGCCCAGGCGCCGCCAAAGCGGCGCCATGACGAGAACTTGGAGCCCAACAGGCCTGGGTGCTGAAAGTGGCTGGGACCTTGAGGGTTCCCTTTGAACCATTTGGCTCGATTTAGGACGTCACTTTGGTTGAATTCCGCAGATCTGCCAGGTTTCGTTTGTATGCTGTCAACCATGGTCTTATTGCTTGCGGTACATGAGGGCCCAGGGGGAAAGCTCTTTGAATCACCGTTTAAATCTAGCCTTTACAGCTGAGGATGAGAGACTGTTGAGCCGGACAGCCGAGCCTAAATAGTGGACAAACTTAGTCATAATTGGAGGAGTACACTGTACGGTACGATAATTGTTTAGCCCTCATGCTGCCCCTTTTCCATATCATGGAAGTGGACGTTTGGGATCTTCCAAACCCCTTCAGTGGAAGCTAGCAAACACAAGGAGCCACCGAGTTCGGGCTGATGGTCGGACGTACAGCAGCTCTGAATTAAGGATGCCCAAATCATTTTCAGGCCCAGGATCATCTTCATTCCTCGTCCTCATCCTTGCTTCCTTCTCCTCCTCATGAGCTGCTGTCATGGGCCAGGTATAAAGCAAATGGGGCATATCTGAAGCGAGCTTGCAGATGGAGCACAGGTTTGCGGAAATTCCTTGTTTTAGATTGACTAAGGATGAAGGTCCCTGTTTTGGATCTTTTGTTCCACGACGCCGATTTGGTATGAATCTGCGACCATGTTTGGCCTAAAGGATCTTGTCGAGTTGCGGCAGGTTTGGCGCCGTTTGCACAGTGCTTTGGGACAAAGTCGGCATTGCCTGGCATTGGGGGCCTTTGCCTTTGGAAATGTCACCGAGCGTTAAGAAGCGCTCATTTCCCTCAAAGCCGACCCCCCCCCTCCTTTGACTTACTGATGTTGTAGGGTTCTTGTGCTGTTGAGTATCCATGACATGGGATATTTTGTTCCTTTCGCCGCATCGACTGGTACCACAGCCCTCTGCGTCTCGATTTGGCTCGAGGCCCGCACTGACGGGGAAGCGGGCCCGGCGGCCCAAAGCGAATCCGCGGAAGTTGGATCAAGGTGGTCACACATGCTTAAAGACTTGTGCAATTGTATTTTTTTCACCTTCAAAGTTGTAAGGGCCCGGTTCAAGGAAACTTTGAACTCTGAGCTTGATTGCTGCTGGCTGTTGTTACAACGAAGGCAACCATGAGGAAGTAAACAGAGAACTGCCAAGTCACCAGGAAACCGCCCGGAAACCACCATGAAGCTACAAGCAAATCATGAAGAGGCCCCACCATGACTCGCCCCCACCACTCCGGACTCCCCACACCACCGGGAGTGCCCACCAGACACAGTCGACCAGGATCCCAACCCTCGGACGAGCCGAGGGAGCAGCTTTGCAGCAATGTCATTTGGCCCCGCTTCGCCAATTTACCAAGGCCCGTCAAGGCAAACCGGAGCCCCAGCGGCCAGGCGCGCGAGGGGTGCCAGCCCCGAAAATCCGGCCCACATTCTGGGAAAATGGACGGCTTCTGATGAGAACGAGCGAAGAGTTTCGATCTCATTTGTGTCCCTCCACTATTTTGTTTTTCAGGGTAGACTGCATATGAAACAGAATCGGATACTATTTGCTATGTAACCCAGATGCGGGTTGAAGTCTTGAAGCGAAGATCAGGTTTTTCGAAACTGCACTGGTTGACAGTGATGCTTAAAGCTGGATCCTTTGGAAGTCCAGGCGCCTTCTTGAGCTGGCAAAGTGTCAATCAACGAGACCATTTGGACGTTTGGCTGCATTTCAGGAGGATGATGGCTGCATTTCAGACGCCCGATTTTGCTTGGGTTTGCTAAGCAGATTGCGCCAGCCGTAGGGCTCAGCCGTTGGAGCTCAGACATCGTGCCCGAGAAGACAAAGATCGATTCGAGTGAGGGTTTGGGCAAAGCTACAGGCAAGCAAGCATTTTAACGAATTCCCTAAATTGTCAAGTTCCCAGGCGGATGAATCTTCTGTTGGGGTCTCTCTCTCTCTCTCTCAATTGCCTGCGAATTTTGGGAACACGCTCAAAGATGGTTGGCGGACATAAATCTCCATGCCAATACCAAAATAAGGTCCCCAATGAAAAATCATTACTGATAGGGTTGTTGTGGCGGGTGCAGCTTTGCTTTGGTCTCAAGCAGATAGCCCAGTTCGAGTTCCGTTTCTTGACTATGAGGATCAAAAGGGCATGCAATTGGAGCTGACAGGGGAAGCTACTCATCCTTGTTTGTGCAAGTGGGCAAACAAGAATGCTGCAGCATCATACCAGCGAGCTTTGTAGTGGGGTGACGAGACTGCGGGCACTTTTGCCCTCTTGCTTACCTGTCAGCTTTCTTGTGTAGGTGCCACCACTTTCTTTGTGTAAAATAATACATCCATGCATCCACAGTCAGCCAAAGAAGCCTGATGACTCCACAGCTTGGTTTCTGCAAATGAAGATGCTGTTTTTTTTCTTCTTCTTTTTTCTTCATTCATTCATTCATTCATTCATTCATTCATTCATTCATTCATTCATTCATTCATTCATTCATTCATTCATTCATTCATTCATTCATTCATTCATTCATTCATTCATTCATTCATTCATTCATTCATTCATTCATTCATTCATTCATTCATTCATTCATTCATTCATTCATTCATTCATTCATTCATTCATTCATTCATTCATTCATTCATTCATTCATTCATTCATTCATTCATTCATTCATTCATTCATTCATTCATTCATTCATTCATTCATTCATTCATTCATTCATTCATTCATTCATTCATTCATTCATTCATTCATTCATTCATTCATTCATTCATTCATTCATTCATTCATTCATTCATTCATTCATTCATTCATTCATTCATTCATTCATTCATTCATTCATTCATTCATTCATTCATTCATTCATTCATTCATTCATTCATTCATTCATTCATTCATTCATTCATTCATTCATTTTCTTCCTTTCTTTCTTTCTTTCTTTCTTTCTTTCTTTGTTTTTCTTTCTTTTTTGTCTTTCTTTCTTTCATTCATTCTTTCTTTCTTCCTTTCTTTCTTTCTTTCTTTCATTATTTCATTCTTTCTTTCTTTCTTTCTTTCTTTCTTTCTTTCTTTCTTTCTTTGTGTCTGTCTGTCTGTCTGTCTGTCTGTCTGTCTGTCTGTCTGTCTGTCTGTCTGTCTGTCTGTCTGTTTGTCTCTGTCTGTCTGTCTTTCTTTCTTTCTTTCTTTCTTTCTTTCTTTCTTTCTTTCTTTCTTTCTTTCTTTCTCTCTCTCTCTCTCTCTCTCTTTCTCTCTCGCTCTCTCTTCCTCTCTCTCTCTCTCTCTCTGCCTCTCTTCTCGCATTCTCTCTCGTCCTCTCGTATCCTCTCTCATCCTCGTCCTCTCTCTTATCTCTCTTATGTCTCATTCTGTCTCGTCCTCTCTCGTTCTCTTTCTCTTTACCGTTGTTCTTTGATTTCTTTTTCTCTCTTTGCCATTCGGGCACTTTCCAAGACCCATCCAGCAGGGTCAAAATGTTTTCGAGTAGTAGGGGCTAAGTAATCACAAACAGTTGTCTCCGATAAGGCGGTAGTTTTGCTGAATGACGCCCAGCCCCATTCTGATTTTTCGGCACCAGTACCCTGTTCTGCAAATGGGAAGCCACTGTTTCTGGAAAGCCCGAATATCGCCATTTGGAGGTCTCGAAAGGCGTTCTTTCATGGGCCAGCGAGTCTCTGCCAGGCCCGATGCTTGAGTGGATCCAAAGGAACCGCGAGGCTCGGGCCGGGGGGGTTACGGTGGACCCCTAAAAAGGGGGGGGATTGGTGGCTGCGCAGTATGTTGCAAGGGGCATGGTGTGGACCCTCAGGGTCCGTTTTGCTGCAACCGCGTTGTTTCAAGCAGGGGCTTGCAAAGTAGACTTGTGGCTCTTGTCGCTGGATTTCTAGATGTCTGGTGTCAGCCCGAAATCCCTCGACCATTTCGGAGTAGCAGTCTTTCGGGGAAGGCACCAGCCACACGTGGAATAATAGTGCCAAACCGGCATTGTGAAACAAATGACATGAAACCAACTGTTTCGAGGGCCCTTCGTTTTCCCGCGTCTGCGTATCACATTCTCCTTAATCAAATGGCACGTGAGTTTTCAAGTTTTCAGCGTGGCATCCTTTGCTTCCAAGGCGTTCAGTAGCTCGACTTGATCTGAGTTACAGTTTCGACAGGTGAGGGGTGGTTTTCAGGTTCAACTTGAAACCCTTGATTGGGTTTCCAAATTCGACACCCCAGGCTTGGATGGGCGTCATGTGTCCCACTTTCTCATACTCTAAGTTCTCTTATCCAGTGGATCCGTCGGAGACCTGATTCTTGGGAGGGCAACAACAACTTTTGGAGCGGAACCTGCACATCCCTGCGTATCGTGGCCGCCCTTGAAATGTTATTGCTTTTGAGGTACCCGGATCCTTCCACCCCGCTGAGATGTTTGAGGGTCCTTTGGAAGATAGAAACTGGACACCCAACTCACTTCCATGTTGGGGTCTTATCCCCGGGGACAGGCGGTTTTGGGGCAAATGCCTGGAGGTTCCAGGCGGGTTCCAGGGCTCTCTGAGTAAACAAATAGAAAACCCACATGACCCCCCCCCCACCCCCCGCATTGGCGGTTTGAACATCTTTCCGCACACAGCCCCCAGTTTTCACTGTACATGTTGGTTGGGTATGCCAAGTTGCTCCGTGCCCTCGGGCGCAGGCGGCCCTGGAGAGGAAGCGGAGGCACCAGGCCGGCCAAGACCCGACCCGGAGATTCGGAGGCATGAAGCCTAAGTTACTTGTATTTTAACCCGGCTCAGGCCGCCGACATTACAGGCCTGCTTTCTTATTTGCGTCCCTTTGGAATTGTCCCCTTGCCCCCCTTCCGCTCTAAGATCTTTGCCCCCCTTTCCCTGTTGAGATCCTTTCCCCCTTTCCCCCCTAAGGCCTTTCCCCCCTGAGATCTTCTCCTTCCTGTTGAGATCCTTTCCCCCCTTTCCCCCCTAAGGCCTTTCCCCCCCTGACATCTTCTCCCTTTTCCTCCCTAAGATCTTTTCCCCCGCTTTCCCTGTCGAGATCCTTTCCCCTTTCCCCCCTAAGGCCTTTCCCCCCTAAGGCCTTTCCCCCCCCGAGGTCTTCTCCCTTTTCCTCGCTAAGATCTTTTCCCCCCTTCCCTGTTGAGATCCTTTCCCCCCTTTCCCCCCTAAGGCCTTTTTCCCCCCTGAGATCTTCTTGCTTTTCCCCCCCTTCCCGGTTGAGATCCTTTCCCCCTTTCCCCGCTAAGGCCTTTCCCCCCCGAGATCATCTCCCTTTTCCTCCCTAAGATCTTTTCTCCCTTTTTCTGTTGAGATCCTTCCCCCCCCTTTCCCCCCTAAGGCCTTTTCCCTTTTCCTCCCTAAGATCTTTTGCACCCTTTCCCTGTTGAGATCCCTTCCCCCTTTCCCCCCTAAGGCCTTTCCCCCCCTGAGATCTTTTCCCTTTTCCTCCCTAAGATCTGTTGCCCCCTTTCCCTGTTGAGATCCTTTCCCCCCTTTCCCCCCTAAAGATCCTTTCCCCGCTTTCCCCCCTAAGGCCTTTTCCCCCCTCCCCCCAAGGTCTTTTCTCCCAAGGTCTTCTCCCTTTTCCCCCCTAAGGTCCTTTTCCCCCTTTCCCTGTTGAGCCCCCTTTCCCCCCAAGGCCTTTCCCCCCGTTGAGATCCTTTCCCCCCTTTCCCCCCTAAGGCCAAGGCCTTTCCCCCCTGAGATCTTCTCCCTTTTCCTCCCTCTTTCCCGGTTGAGATCCTTTCCCCCTTTCCCCCCTAAGGCCTTTCCCCCCTGAGATCTTCTCCTTCCTGTTGAGATCCTTTCCCCCCTTTCCCCCCTAAGGCCTTTCCCCCCCTGACATCTTCTCCCTTTTCCTCCCTAAGATCTTTTCCCCCGCTTTCCCTGTCGAGATCCTTTCCCCTTTCCCCCCTAAGGCCTTTCCCCCCTAAGGCCTTTCCCCCCCCGAGGTCTTCTCCCTTTTCCTCGCTAAGATCTTTTCCCCCCTTCCCTGTTGAGATCCTTTCCCCCCTTTCCCCCCTAAGGCCTTTTTCCCCCCTGAGATCTTCTTGCTTTTCCCCCCCTTCCCGGTTGAGATCCTTTCCCCCTTTCCCCGCTAAGGCCTTTCCCCCCCGAGACCTTCTCCCTTTTCCTCCCTAAGATCTTTTCTCCCTTTTTCTGTTGAGATCCTTCCCCCCCCTTTCCCCCCTAAGGCCTTTTCCCTTTTCCTCCCTAAGATCTTTTGCACCCTTTCCCTGTTGAGATCCCTTCCCCCTTTCCCCCCTAAGGCCTTTCCCCCCCTGAGATCTTTTCCCTTTTCCTCCCTAAGATCTGTTGCCCCCTTTCCCTGTTGAGATCCTTTCCCCCCTTTCCCCCCTAAAGATCCTTTCCCCGCTTTCCCCCCTAAGGCCTTTTCCCCCCTCCCCCCAAGGTCTTTTCTCCCAAGGTCTTCTCCCTTTTCCCCCCTAAGGTCCTTTTCCCCCTTTCCCTGTTGAGCCCCCTTTCCCCCCAAGGCCTTTCCCCCCGTTGAGATCCTTTCCCCCCTTTCCCCCCTAAGGCCAAGGCCTTTCCCCCCTGAGATCTTCTCCCTTTTCCTCCCTCTTTCCCGGTTGAGATCCTTTCCCCGCTTTTCCCTAAGGCCTTTTCCGCCCCAGATCTTGTCCCTTTTCCTCCCTAAGATCTTTCCCCCCCTTTCCCTGCTGAGATCCTTTCCCCCCTTTCCCCCCTAAGGCCTTTGTCCCCTAGGATCTCTCCGACACTCTCCCCCCCCTAAGATCTTTCCCTTTCCCCTCCCCTTAAAATCTTTTTCCCCCCTTTCCCCCGAAGATCTTCATTTCCCTTCACTTTCCTTCATGTCCCCTGTATGTCTGTTTTTGTTCCTTTTCTTTCATTTCACTTCATGCCATTCATTTCCATGCATTTTCCTTCATGTCCAGATTTTCCTTCAAGCATGGGCAACATCCCCAGCATTACTTGCATCATCTGTATCCTTGGCAGGCGCTGATGCGGATGATGCAGGTGATGCTGGCGATGTTTCCCAGGAGGTGCTAAGGATGCAAAAAACGGACCGAGGGGGAATCGAACACCCCAATGCTTTTACGCAACTGAGTCCAGCCCCCACAAAAAGGATTTAGAGGAACGTCTTGGAATCACCGCGTGGTACGTGGCCACCCCCGCCCCCTCTGAAACCGTGCCCCCGAAAAGGGGTAAGGGGAGGGGTGGCAGAGGTAAGAAAGCCGCCTGTTGTCGGCGGATAAAATATGCGAATCACGGGTCTCTTTGATGTTCCTTTGCCTGCCTGCCTGCCTGACAGCCTGGCAACGAACCAACCTACCCACCTACCGACCCACCCACCTACTCACATACGCGCGCGCTCACGAACGTACGTACATAGATACATGCACGCACGCACGAACAATATTATATATATATATATATGTTCCTATATCCTTAGCCAATCCTTGGCCAACCCTAACCAAGCTAGCAACCCAACCACCTCGAACCTTGAACATGTATATGTGTGTACAATAGTATATTACTATATATCTATGCATATACATATGTGTGTATATACATATATATATATATACACATGTAAAGGAGAGAGACAGAGCAACATGTCCTGCAGGCATTAAGCCTTTGTACATCAATAGGCACAAACGCATGAACGCTTGCTTTGCATATTCTGACAGTAGGTGACTTTCTCCTTTCAGGCATGCAGCTAGCAGAAAAGACACAAGGCATGACTTTCTTGTTTCCACTTCTGGACCTAATTCAGACATTTGCCAAACCATGCAAATAACGCCGCCTGAAACTCTTCTTACACAATTCTGCACAAGGACCTTGGCAGCAGATATCAATATCCTTGCTCACGCTTCGATTGGACCGATTGCTCAGTTTTGTTTGGCTGCTGCCTAACACTGCACCCGCTGATCCAAATGCACTTCTGCCATTTGAGTGCATGCCTGCCACATGTGAAGCACACATGCAACACCGCGCAATTATCCATGTGGACATATGACCGATCATGAGGACACACGGCGCTTATTTCTCTCTGTTCATCCGGCAAGTCGTGCTTTAGCTGCGCTTGTTTTGTGACTTTGTCCTCCTGCGTAGGATATGCCGGCAAGTGCGACTCAGAGCGAGCCGCAAGCGCAGAAGGCCGAGGAGGAGCTTCATGTTTCTGATTTCGATGCTCTGAAACGTGGCCTGGTAGGACATGCCGGCAAGTGTGCCTCGGAGTGAACCGCAAGCGGAGAAGGCCGAGGAGGAGAAAGAAAGCGAGTGAGAGAGAGAGTGTGAGAGCGTGGGAATGTGAGTGTGCGAGTGTGAGAATGTGGGAGTGGGAGGGTATGGAAGGGTGAGAGTGTGAGTGGACAAGCTTCTTGTTTTTGATTTCGATGCTCTGAAACGTGGCCTGCGTAGGACATGCCGGCAAGTGTGCCTCGGAGCGAACCGCAAGCGGAGAAGGCCGAGGAGGAGAAAGAAAGCGAGTGAGAGAGAGAGAGTGTGAGAGCGTGGGAATGTGAGTGTGCGAGTGTGAGAATGTGGGAGTGGGAGGGTATGGAAGGGTGAGAGTGTAAGAGGACAAGCTTCTTGTTTTTGTTTTCGATGCTTTGCAACTTGGCCTTCGTAGGACCTGCCGGCAAGTGTGCCTCGGAGCGAACCGCAAGCGGAGAAGGCCGAGGAGGAGAAAAAATGCGAGTGAGAGACAGTGTGAGAGCGTGGGAATGTGAGTGTGCAAGTGTGAGAATGTGGGAGTGAGAGGGTATGGAAGGGTGAGAGTGTAAGAGGACAAGCTTCTTGTTTTTGATTTCGATGCTCTGAAACGTGGCCTGCGTAGGACATGCCGGCAAGTGTGCCTCGGAGCGAACCGCAAGCGCAGAAGGCGGAGAAGGAGAACGAGAACGCAAGCTTGCTTGCAGATTGATTCTTGTTTGCCGAACGTGGCCCAAATCACATGCCAAACAGTACGCTTTTTGCAAAGCTGGGACCAGGACAAATGAGTGTACTGCTGCGCTAGTATTTTGGTGGGGAACTATGTTTGATCAAGCATTCTGACAGTATTGGTTTTTTTTTTTTCAGCCTTGAGACATCAGGCAGTTTGGCAGTTTGGCAGTTTGGCAGTGCAAGCGAATTGGCCAAACCGGGCTTGGATGTTTGGCAACAGGTTTCCTTCAACCCTCCAAGAAAGTCCCTGCCCTCCTTCCACTAATCATGGAAGCTGACCGGCGTGGCAATTTTTCAACTTGAATTCGCAGACTTAATGAGCTTTAGGTCAACTGCTCGCAGGCTAGCTTCCGACTTTCCTCGCGAGCGCGATTTGCGCCAGGAGGAAGCTGCTGAGGAGCCGCCGAACTGGAGTTTTCACTATTCCAGCTAGGCAAAACATGGGGTACGTTGTATGATATGGTACCCACTTCAGAAGGGGGGGCCACTTTAAGATGTGGTTTGGAAGCAGGCCATATGCTCCAAAGATCCTTTCCACGTTTCTTGCAGTTTTGTTCTTTTGGCTAGTAGCAGGTTGAGAGCAGACTGGCAGACTGCATAGGCCATCCTAAGCGCCAAATGTCTGGGACAACTTGAGATGGGTGTTTCTCAAAGTTTGGGGGAGACTGGTTCTCACAACCCTTCTAAGAACCCCTAGGAAGGTTCTAAGAAAGCCCAGGTTCTTCTGCTGTTTACGGGCATCCTTGTGTCTACCAAGTTTGTAAACCGGAGCCAGCGACATTCCTGACTGTCTGACCTGCTCTGCTGAGCAGCAGCAGCAGCAGCAGCAGCAGCAGCAGCAGCAGCAGCAGCAGCAGCAGCAGCAGCAGCAGCAGCAGCAGCAGCAGCAGCAGCAGCAGCAGCAGCAGCAGCAGCAGCAGCAGCAGCAGCAGCAGCAGCAGCAGCAGCAGCAGCAGCAGCAGCAGCAGCAGCAGCAGCAGCAGCAGCAGCAGCAGCAGCAGCAGCAGCAGCAGCAGCAGCAGCAGCAGCAGCAGCAGCAGCAGCAGCAGCAGCAGCAGCAGCAGCAGCAGCAGCAGCAGCAGCAGCAGCAGCAGCAGCAGCAGCAGCAGCAGCAGCAGCAGCAGCAGCAGCAGCAGCAGCAGCAGCAGCAGCAGCAGCAGCAGCAGCAGCAATCTAGAGGCTTCATTTGCGGGGAAGCGTTGCGACGGCTGAAGCATTTGACTGCTCCTTTGCGCATGAAGCGGCGCAAACTCGGGGGCCTCCCATGCCTGGCCTCCCATGCCTGGCAAGAGTTGGCTGCAGCATTGCGCAGCTTGTGTGTCAGGCAGCTGTGCCAGCGGTTCGCTCGAACGCAGGGCTCTGCAACTTCAGCAACATCTACCACCCGCAGGCAAGTGCATCTTTTGTCGTAGAACAAGCGTGTTGGGACCTGGGTCCGTGCATTGCGGTCGCTCTGTTGCGACCTCAGCTGGAGGACAAAGGAACCCAGCCGAGGACAAGGAACCCAGCTGATGCACTGTCACGAAACTCGCGCAGCAAAAGGATTCGCGCAGCGCAGAGCTTCGGTGCTTGAGCTGTCGTGCGAGCGTCTGGGCGAGACTTGTTGGTGGCTTTCGTGAGGGCGCTTTCTCAGGTCACACCTGGTCGAAGCCCTTAGGTGTTCCCAGTGACAGGTGCAATAAGGGCCCCGTTCCTGGTTTGTCCAGTTGCTTTCTCCACCCGAATTCGCGCTTTTCGGTTTGAGTCTTGCCTTTGGACTTGTCGTCGGCCTTGTAGGCTCCGCCTCCGCCGTTTCACACAGAATTTGGGAGCGTTTTGCAGGGGGCGACACACCTTCTGGGTTCCCTTTAAAACCGCCCAAAAAAGGGGGGGGGTACCCTCCAAACAGCCACACTCGTTTGAGGGGGAGAACAGTTGGTCTTTGCAGAGCTCAACAGTTGGGAAGGGTCGAAAGGTCCATCCATGTCCATCCCCATTTTTCCAGCAATCAATCTCGAAAGGCCTTTGCGATTCCAGCTCCGATGTCCGTTGATTACAGTTAGCTACTTGAATAGCAACTAAAAAAAACAGATTCGTTTGTCAAGGTTGCGCTTTTGCCGAGGAGTCCAGTTCGAGTTCAGAGGAGTGTCGAGACGCGCGTGTCGACCGAACTTCCGATGTGCATTAGAATTTTATGGCCAGGGGGGGGGGAAAGAAGCTCACCCCGGTTTCCGGTTTGGAATTGTGGAACGGCGGAAAGCGACCTTCAGGTCGATAGAGGTTGGGGTTAAAAACGTACCGGCGGCAGGGCGGGGGCAGGTCCGGATTTCTCGTCTCGAGCACCTGCGGGGGAAGGTCCGGATTTCTCGTCTCGAGCACCTGCTGCAGACGATGCATATTTGGGGCGATGCTGGAGATGCTGGCTGGTGATGCCAGGGATGCTGGCTGGTCATGCCAGCGTGCTTGTTCTGTTGATAAGCAAGTGCACTTTTTGATGTAGTTTGATTTGCGTGTGCATGCAAGTCTGTATCCGTTGTTTGCACTGGCTTTGCTTATCTTTGATTTTTTTTTTTGAGGTTGTGTCAGATGTTGATTGGAAAACATCCAGTGTAACACTTCATTTGACATAGAATGATTATTGACATTCTGCGTTGAAATAGAAACATCTGATTGAATATGTCCTTATTAAGTTCCATTTTAGATCAGTTCGAAATTGAGTAAACATTGATAAATACATTTTGCATCATTTCATAAGGAATTCAAAGGTCCAACAATTGTGTGTTTACCTGGCCCTCCAGCATTGCTATGGTCAGAGAACACCGCAAAGCAGCGTTTTGCAGTGGGTTTAACCAACAGCCGCTCTCTTAAATTCAGATATATTTTGAATAGAACTTAAATAGGACTCAATGGGGAATACATATTCCGAATCGTACTGGAAATTCTATCTCCAATCAAGTTTAGGTTTTATTAGATCTCCTTGCCAAATTCGAGGTAAAATAGAATTTGATAAGGACGGAGTCCAAATGAGTCCAATCAGACTTTCGATTTTGAATTAGATTTTAGATAATAATCATTGTAGTTCAAATTAGACTTTCCACAGGATTTCCTTTCCAATAGACTTTGCTCTACACATCAGTTCACATACAAACACAATGTTATTCAAAAAGAGTTCAAGTCAAATTTCAATTTTAACCTAGAATTTTAAGGCAGGAATTCCTTTCAACAAAACCACATATCCACTGGATCAGCCGCCCACAACGACAAGCCAAAACAACCTCGACAGAGCCAGAATAAATACACGCCCATTTCTCCCAGAACTCTTGGCATAGTGAGTGGCAATGTCTTTTAAACGTGTCTGAGGAAAGCTGTTTTGTTTTGGTACTTGTTGTTTCTTGGATTGTTTGGTTTTTTCGACTGTGTCCTTTTTCTTATATGCGTATATATAGTTTTGTTTTAGTTTCTTTTTGGTTTCCTCAGGTTTGTTTACTTGTTTAGAATCCTGGAAGTGCAATAGAACAGCAGCACAGACTAGACTGCAACTTGCACATATCCCAAGCAGAGAAATAGAACAGACTTCAGTTTCCTTCCCAGAGCTGGTTGGCTCATTGATTCTCCGTCCTTTTGCTAAGCGCGAGTTTTGTCAACAACCAGCCGAATGTGGTTTTTGGAAAGGATCCCCTCCTGTAGAGAACCTAAAGTGCCACACCGAAGATGTCCAGTGACCGGCATTTTGAATCCATGCTTCTTGCCATTTCCACACCAGTTCGGTGCGAACAGAGAGCCGCGCTATCAGCCCCATCGGTGAAAAGCTCAGCGAGTTGGGGAGCAACACAGTTCCCGGGGTCAATCAGGTTTCGCCACCAAACCAGTTGAACCAAAGGGTTTCGCAGGGTTTTGGGTATCCTTTTCCATGCTCCTGAAGCTCATGGGCTTTCCTTCTGATGGGGAAATCGGACGCTCGGGAGGGCGCTGGGACGTGGTGTCCACAGGTGTGGGTGAGGAGTTGCGCATGTGTTGCTTTAGCCCGGTCCGACTTCCTGGATCCAGGTCTAGTTCTTATAGGAATTCGGCATTTGAGGAAAGACGGGACCACCAACACCCCATTGCCACCCGTGCAAGTGTTGGTGTCACGTGTATGTTGCTCCCTCGAAAGCGAGGGGATTTCCAGTTCTCAGCAGTGCATGACGCATTTTTTGGATGTCATTGACTATCGTGTCAAATTTCCACCATGAATTGGCTTACCCACCTAGTTCCTGGCTGCCTCTTGGAATGGGTTTGTGGGTACGATTAAGCCAAGTCACCATATGAACGCAGTGTTTGCAATTGTTTAGCTGTTAGGAACGCGCCCCCTTTTTCTTCGGTGTGCTTGCCGAGTAGGGCCCCGCCAGGACTCCAGCGATGAGGGCGCGCGGGGTGGTTGTTCAAGGGGGACACCCTGGTTTTCCCACACCAACCAGGTCCCATTCGTTTTTCAAGCATTGAGAAACTTTGAGATACCCACAGGGTAGATTGGAGCCATGCTCACCTTCGTTTGAAGAAGAGGCAAAGCAACAGAGAGCGAGCTGGTTGACCAGAGTGGGGGTCATCGTGCCTTTGCCTGCTGCCCAGGCCGGGGAAAAAGGCACCTGCTCAGTTGCTGGAGCAGTCTGCGAGTTTGGCTGATGGGAACTGTTTTCGAAATGGAAAGACGCCAGGCAATGGGCAAAACTGTGGCAGTCAGTAACATCAGTCAGCCAGCCAGCCAGCCAGCCAGCCAGCCAGCCAGCCAGCCAGCCAGCCAGCCAGCCAGCCAGCCAGCCTGTCAGCCTGTCAGCCTGTCAGCCTGTCAGCCTGTCAGCCTGCCAGCCTGTCAGCTGTTGGCTTGTGTGTTTGTTTGTTTGTTTGTCCGTCTGTCTGTCTGTCTGTCTGTCGGTTGTTTCGTTTTGCGTTGTTTCTGTCTGTTTTGCTTGCTTGCTTGCTTGCTTGCTTGCTCGCTTGCTTCCAGCCAATCCAGCCACCAATCCAGAAGGTGTCTTCCATACAACCTTCTTTTGCTTTGAGGTAAGCTTGACACCGGCGTTTGCACAAATTGGTGTGCCAACAATATTGCGTTTCCCTCCATGTGAGCAACTGACCATTTTCGTAATGCGTTGTTGGTTTGGGAGAAGCAGAAAAGGGGGTTCACACGGAAAACCTGGCAGGCAGCCCATTAGAGACCCCTGTTTCTACCTTCCCTTCTGGCTTCCAAACCTTCCAAAAAGGAGGTCCTGTACAAGGGGTCCCTGCCAGGCACAAGCTCCACTTCGTGCACAAGCCAAACGAGCGCAGGCTCACGTGTGAGGGGCGGCCACGGCCTGCACTGAATCGTCAAGCCGATTTTAACGACGCAGTCTGTCATAGCGAGCTCACCACGAGTGTACCCATGATGTGTTTTCTGAGGCTCAGATCTTTCGATTGTTTGGTCACCCATGCCTGTGCATCATCGTTGACAGACGGGCTCATGTGATGTTGGCATTGTAGTCTGCCGTACCAGGAATCAAGCCAAATCGTCAGTTGTGTGTTTCTCAAAATGGGATTCAGTCCCCTCTAAAGGTGGCGTCCTTTGGTTTCCCTTTGAAGACCAACCAAAAGGGGTCCGCTTTGAGAAACTCCCATACTGTCAGCGTCTTTCCCAGGGCCCCGCGATAAGTACTGCGCTGTCCAAAAACTCGGGGCGGCCTAGGGAAGCAAAGCCTCATGAGGACTTCCCAACTTAGGGCAAGTTCGGGCAGTTTTTGTTTGGAGTGGCCGTATGCAGCCTGTGCGAGGCCTGACAGTGATGGCAAGGTACAGTGTTGGGCATAGATGTGCAGCCGCGCTGTGGCCAATGCTTGGATCTCCATTTGAGCGGGTAGCTCCTGGTGTTCTGTCCCTTACTTCAGAGAAGGCTGTGTCCCGGACCTTCTTTTTTTGCAGGTGAGAGTGGAAGTGATGTTGAAGATGAGGAGCCTGAGGAGGAGGCGGAGGAGGTGGATGAAGAGGAGGAAGAGGCTCCTGAGATGGCAACCGTCGGTTTGGGGAATCCGTGGAGTTTTGGTAGCTCGGCTTCGTGCAGCGGGGAAGCCAGTGATTGATACACTGGTTGACGACCAGGGGGGAAGGGGTGGAATTTCAGGGACATGCTGGAGTTTTTGGTTGGAACCACCCCTATTCTTCCGCAAGGTTTATCAATCTGGACTCAACATCACGTGCCAGGTCAGTTTGCGACTGGCTTGTGCAACAGTGTCTAAGCGCGAGTAGCTGCTTGGAATTTTGTCGCGGAGGGTTGTTAGTTGAAGCAAACCATCGCTGAAGTGCTGAGAGCGGAGGATTTGGGAAATTTGAATTGGGCCTGTGCCTGGTGTCTTGGTTGAAAGAAACCCCTATGCAACTGGTGAAGACACCTGGCCGAAGATGGGTTCGGTTTTTTCCCCAGAAGCATTGTTGTGGTTTGTGTGTTCCAATAACGAGCCGGGTTTGAGATCTTTGAAGGTAACCAAAACAGGAAACCCTGGCTGGAAATGGACAGCGGACCTTCGAAGTCTTCACAGAGTCCTGCCGAAAGGGGCATTGCACCGATTCTCTTAGTTTGAGAGCCTTCTGATTTGGGTGAACTCACACCTTGCACAGCTCACCCAAACGCCCCAACTTGTTGAATGTCGTGCGCGAGTTGGCCTTCGAAGGTGGGCTCGAGTCAGTTCATTGGGCGAAGCGGCTAGCTCGGGATTCGGACAGAACCCGAACCGTCGGTTTCCTGGGGACCGGAGAAATCGGAGCAAGGCTTTTGAGAAGGAGAAAGAGGACGAAGAGAAAGAGGAGCAGGAGGAGAAGGAGGAGGAAAGCGAGGACTGGGCTGGTCTCTGGTGTGAGCTTAGCCCCTGAGACCTTTTACGAAACAAGTGGCTTTCCCATAAAATAGTCTGAATGCTAAGCACCTAAGCACGCGTCATGTTGGCCAGGACGCGCAGTGTTTTTTGGAGGCGCTGAACATGCGTCGCGTGCGTGTGTGCAGGGCTGCGCGGACGTGCTTGACTGGTGCGCTAATTTGGCAGGCATGTGTGCAGTTGTGCGCGGACGCACTTGAGCGGGTGTGCTGACTTAGCATTTGGCGGGCGTGTGTGCGGCGCACTTGAGCCGGTGTGCTTATCATTTTGGTAGGCGTGTGTGCAGTGCTACCCGGGGGCTGAGAGGGTGCCCGTGCTTCCCAGTCGGGCAGCGCCTAACCGTTTTGCCCCCACCGGCCTCCCATCTACTTGTCCCCTGGTTGGGGATTAGGTTGCCTTGGGTCGTTCCAGGCAGTAATAAATAGCATCAATGTCATTGAGTAGAATCTACACCGTAGACGGCCGAACTAGTTTTGGGGATGGCGTGATTTGGGTACTTACTACTGTGTAAGTGCGTGGGTTTCTTTGAATCTGACAGCGCCTCAGAATGGTCAAAGCACCTGGCGGCTTGCTCATGTACCCATTTGTAGGGGGCGCTCCATTTGGAGCTCCCGCCCCCCTTGAATCAAGCGGCGGTACGAGGCAGATCGAATCCGATACCCAAGCTTCTACTGCTAGGGCGTTTGCAGGTTGATGGATATCGGCTTTGGGTGGGCTCCCTATTGATTTTTGGTGGTGATGTTGTCGGGCATTCATGTCATGCTCAAGTATCATTGGTGACGATAAGAGCTGCATACCTTGAATCTGGACAATTATCAGCTGATGTTAGAGAATCGGCCTTTGACCCAGTACCGCAAGAAGCCGATCGGCATCTTGAGTTTTCGGAAGGCTGCTTTGGACCCCCGAGTAACATTCGCGTGTCCCCCCCCCCACACCTGGCCATTCTAAAAACAACCAACCTGTTGGTTTTTCTGCTACTTCCCCTTCAGCCAGCCAACAGTTGACCTTTTCAGGGAGCCTCAGCTTGGCCAATCGGAGTTTCCCTGGAGGACGAGAACCTGCCGAAGGCCTGGAGTCCGCATCAAGTGGAAGGGCGGGAAGGCCGAAGTTCCACGCGTCAACCGGAAGCCACTTGCAAAGAGGTTAACCCTACAGAACGCCTACCGTTTGACGAGAACGGCAAACCTTAACCGCGGAAGGCGAACAGTTAAAGCGCATGGAGGCACAAAAATACTTAGGCGTTTGCCAGGGCTGCGACAGCGTAATTATAGCGGTTGCTCGTGCAAGTAACAACAGAGCTTGATGTAGATGTTCTTGCCGGGCTCTGGTCTGGCGCCTGCAGCCTGGCCCGTGTAAAAGGGATTGGGAACAAAGAATGTTCCTTTGGCGTCAAGTCATAAGAGCCAAAAATGTTTAAAGGAAAACCTGCCAAGGTTGAAACAAGCGTAGAATCCACTGGGCAGGGTCGCAAGTTCTTCACTTCAACTGACCCAGCATTAATAACCCCCCCCTATTAAAGCGCTCGGTGTTTCCTGAAAATAACAAGCCAATACTTGGTTTTTTTCAGTGAAACCAGAAATCCCCCCTATTAAAGCCCGCTTCTCCCAGATCACCTGCTACAGGCACGTCTTTAATTCAGTTTTAACTTGCCCAACTGTTGCAGATGCAACAGCAGCCCCACCCCCTTTGCTGAAAGCCAGCACCCCTCGACCTTGTGGGTTCCCTGACCTGACCGTGCCCTGACCCACAAAATTCCCTGATCTGACCTTCTCACAAGGTTTCCTCACCTGGTGAACCCCATATTTTTCCCATGTCACTGGGCAAGTATGGAAGAAAACAAAAAAGGGGTTTACAAGGCCGCGAGCATCCAATCCCCAACCCCCAACACTTAATTGTCCGAAGCGATGGAATGGGGGGTTGATTCCTCTTTGCGTTTCATCCCTCTTTCCTGCTTTTCTTGTCGTAGCCCTTGAGGACAACCGAAGGTCAACCATGACCCACTCAAGTAGAAAGGCTGCGATCCCATACCTGGCTGACCTCTGCTCTTGGCCTCACTTCAGGACATGGTTTATCCATGTCAGCGGCGGACATATCCTGAACAGCACTCCAAACGATACTTTATGATTTGGCCTGCGAGCCAAGCCTTGGTGACCAAAGTCATTTTCACGAAATTGCATTTGAAGGTTCAGTTCGGAGGCCGCGCACCAAGCCACCACGGTATGGTTCGCGGGGTCAACATGCCCGGATGTTCTCGCACTGGAGCTGCCAGGATCGTATTTGTTTGAGTTGACTTGATTAGGTGATCTGATCTGGGCTTGTTTTGACATGTTTTGTTTTTGAATTGGCACCAGGACAGCAATTGAGACGCCCCAGTCAAGAAACATGTCACTGGCGAGGGGCTTCAAAAAGTCGCCCTTGAGTATTCAGAGGGCGGCCAGAATTGAGCCCAAGGCCCGCTTTGTGGCCCAAGCCAGGGACAAATGCAGACCTGGAATGGGGTTCCCACCGGGAAGAGTTGAACCATCACGACGCTCCAAATAAAAACTCGATGCCGGTCCGTGTGCTCACTGAAACGAGGTGCGCGGCGTTTGTGCCCCCCGAGGGGAGCCGCCCTGTGCGGGCCTCGGGGGTTGGGAATGGTTGCAAAGGGAAACCAAATGGAAGCCATTGGGCCGCAAGAGGGGTTTCCTTATTTTGTGCCGCCCCAACCAAGGGATTTGCAACAGAGTGCCCAATCATGGCCATGGGTTGCTGTGTGTTGGGGAGCGCCTGTCATTTCTTTTTGCTGGGTTTCCAAAGCCAACTTGTTTTAGCATGTCTTAACACCTGTTCAAACAGCCTCCTTTCAATCAGGGGGCCAGTTTCCAATGTTCAATTGATTTGGACCTCTGCTCCTCGAGCCATTTGAGGGTGTTTGCAGGCTGCACCGAGCGCTGGCCCGCTGTACAACTACAGCCCCTGACGCCAGGAGCGGACGTCAGACGTCTCGGCTCAGCTCGGGGAAGGGGGGGGGGTTGTTGTTTGAAATCATGTTGCATTTTAGGGTTCACCAGATATGGGACAGAATCAAGGAGCTGTTATCTTTGGTGGGGGATATTACTTGAGTCCAGGGGTTTTGCGGTTGTGCCGTTGCCGGGGCCAACCATTTTTTCCTCAGTGATATGCCAGTTCCCAGACTGTTTGCAGCCTTCTGGAGGATGCTTGCCACACAGGATCTGCAAACGGCCCGCCGAAGAGTCGCGCCTAAGGTCTAGGTTCGCAGACATGTTCGAGGATTTGCAGGTTTCCTTCAACTTGAACCTTTCAACCACGTACCAGCAAAAGTTGAACACGCTGCGCTGAAGAGACGTTAGGCACATCCGGCTTCCCACCTCACACTGTTCCCTCTCTTGGGTCTTCGCCGCTAGTTCTGGCCGAGGCCTTGTCAGCTCTACACGCGTTTCAAAGCAGGAGGTCTCTCCACATTTGGGGGGTCGACCAAAGGGTCCAAGGGCCTCATGCCTCATGCCTCATTCGACTGCCAGTGAAAGGTCCGGGTCAGAAGGGAGCTTCTCCATCCCGCTTTTGGTATTTAAAGGGGCACAACAAGGAAGCCAACCATTTAGGGGATCCCCAAACATGTCCCCATTTTCAGCCACCAGGGGGCTTTTTTGGCAGGCAAGGTGTTGGTGCCCAAGAAGGAGCGGAACGCCAAGCAAAAGCTGGTGGCGACGCTTCTCTGCCGGAAAACTCGGTGAAAGTCGCGGCGTCGGAAGCTTTGAGGGGATCCGGTTCATTCCCAAAACCCAGAAAGTCATTTCCTGAGAACCCCAGTGGGTAGAAATTGGGACCTTGCCAGCCATAGATGATGTGATGGGAATTTTGAGTAGAACCCGTGCATGGTATGGGGAAAGACGCTCATCAACTGTGTGG